TCCACTTTGAGAGAGAGCCTGCGGGTGCCTTGAGGTAAACTATAAGAATGAAACTCATAGACATGAAAGCAGGGGTTCTCAAACTTTGATACCGCGACCCCCAGTTTGAGAAACGCGGCATTAAAGGATTAGATTGGGATTCTGAACCCTGGTTATTCATAGATTTCAAGGCTAGAAAGGATCATTGTGACCATCTAGTTTGACCTTCTGTACAACACACGACATATCTTTGAGAAAAACATCCAGTGTTGGTTTAAAAATTGTCCGTGATAAAGAATCTGTCAACTCTTAATGAATTGTTCGAATGGTTAATTACTTGCTTTGAGCAGTCTTTCACTTTTAATTTCTCTGGACCTGTTAGTAAATATTTGTTCTCAATGGAGATACTTATAGTCTGTAATCAGGTTACCCCGTAACCTTTTCATTAGGTGACAGATTCAAGGAACTCAATCTGTTTAGCTTATCAGGAATGTTTTCTAATCCTTTAATCATTCTGGTGGCTCTTCTCTGAAACCTCTCCAATTTGTACTGAATTGTGGGCACCAGAACTGACACAGCATTCCAGGCAGGAGTTGTACCTATGCCAAATACAGAGGGAAAATAATCTCTCTACTTCTACTTGAGATTCTCCTTTTGATGCATCTCAGGATCACATTTAGCCACAGGATCACACTGGGAACTCCTGTTCTGCTGTTCATTCCTCACAACCCCCAAATCTTTTTCAGAGACTCCTCTTTCTAGGATAGAGTACCCTTATCCTGTAAGTATGGCCTGCATTCTTTGTTCCTAAATATATACATTTACTTTTAGCTGTATTAAAGTGTAGTTTGACTGCACCCAGTTTGCTAAGCAATCCAGATGGCTCTAAGTCAGTGACCTATTTTCTTCATTATTATACCTGCAGTTTTTCTGTCATCTGCAAACTTTCAGTGATGATTTTATTTTTTTTTTCTTCTTAGGTCACTGATAAAAATGTTAAAAGCATAGGGCCAAGAACTGATCCTTGCAGGACCCCCACTGGAAATGCCGCTTCAATGATGCTTCTCCATTTGGCAGTTACATTTTGAATCCCATCTGTCAAACGGCTTTTAATTCATGTAATGTGTGTCCTGTCATATCAAATCAAATACCTTGCAGAATTCTGAGTAGCGTAAACACTGGTTTATTTTTCAACCAAACTTATGATCTTTTTTTTTTTTTAAAAAGCCCAACGTAGTTTGACAAATGTTTTCCGTAAACCATGTTGATTTTCATTAATAGCCTTCTCTTTTAATTCATTTTTATATGAGACCCATATTTGTAGCTCCATCATTTTGCCTGGGATTGAACTCAGGCTGGGAGACCTACTGGCACGGTCTTCTGAAATGTACTCAAGGTTTGAAGACTTATTGAAAGAGCTGACCAACTCCTTGGTCAGCTCTTTTAAAAGCCTTGGATGTAAGTTATCTGGACTTGTTGATTTAAAACACATCTGAGTTGAGCAACTTCTTTTAACAGTCACTAATACAAGTGGAATGGTAAGAGTTATCAACACTGTATGGTGAGACTGTTTTTTTCCAAATACTGAACAGAAATATTGAACAATTTTTTTCTCATATGAAATATCGAAACCTCTACTACTTCATCAAGTAATAGAGCAATACCATTGTTGGGGTGCTTTTTGTTCCTTGTATATTTAAAACTCCTTAGCTTTTCTGGTTGTAGATTCCTCCTTATGTCTTTGGCTTCCCATGTCAATTTTCTGCAGTTCCAAACTTCTTATTTTATATTAATTTTTAATGGTCACCTGTTTTTAGATCTGTGTTTGTGTGCATATCTATGATTTGCTTTCACTTCACCTCTAAACCAGGTTAATTTTTAACTACCACTGCCGCCTTCTTTTGGGATTATGGCTTTTTGAGCTTCTCGGGAGTGTTTAATGATTTCCAATTATCATTCACATTTTTCTGATTTTAAATTCTTCCTTAGCTGATTTCTCACAATTCTTTTCAACTTTCTGAGATTAGTCCTATTAACGTGGTGCATGTATATCTCTAATTTTGGTCTGGTTTTCATTCTGCTTGCACAGTGATATGTGATCAAGTCATGATCATTTGTACCATTTGCTTTAGTTTTGTGATCATTTTCTCTTTCTGTGTGTTAGAACAAGATACAATAAGGAATTTTCTTGGGTTTCCTGCAACACGTTTGAATTAGAAAACTGTTGTCTATAATGCTTAGAAATTCCAGTGATACTTTAGTATTGATGCTGCCATGCTGGGTGAACTTGGGCAAACTTTGTGCCAGTTTCCCCTCCTGCAAATTAGAGATCTGATATTTACTTGCTTTGGATAGCACTTCTCATTCATAGATTTCTATGAACTAAATATTAAAAATGTACATTAAAATATGTGTTGGACATCAACTTCCAGCTCATCCACAACTGAAGCAGGAAAATCAGAACTTTATATGGATTACTGCATAGGTTCGGTGACATGGATATCTTTATGACATAGTGTCATGGCTCCTTCCCCACTCTGGCACAATAAATGCAGAAGTGGGGACCAGCAAGTGTACCCCAAAACCTTATCTACCAGGCATTAGTATAAAACGTCCCTCCAAAATCTTAAAACCTAGATTTTCAGAATAAAATTTCCGCTGCCACCACCTAAATTAATAAAGAAATCAGAGGAGAGACCATTTGGGAAAATCTCACCCCTAAAGTAAAAAGCAGGACACCACCATTAACCCAATACCAGGTTAATAAAAGGAAAAGAGAAGACTTTTACTATTCCCACACTATTCTTGTTGCAAGCATAATACAGTAAAACTCCAGTTGACCGGCATCCAGTGGTCCGGCACTCCTGCTAGTCCAGCACCACCTGGAACCTGGAAGTGCTCCAGGCAGCTGGACAATTGGAGCTGCTCTGCCCTGGGCTTTCCAGACTTGGGGCGCCCGGGACAGAGCAGCTGGGGTGCTGGGTTGGTCCCGTAGCGCTGCCCCTTGGTGCTGCAGGACAGTTTCAGTAGTGGCTGACTTGGGGATGCCTGGGGCAGAGCAGCTGAGGTGCTGCTGGGTTGATCCCTCAGCGCCGCTCCTCGGCACTACTGGACCAACCTGGCAGCCCCCCAGCTGTTCTGCCCCAGGTGTCCCCAAGTCAGCCGTTGCTGAAACTGACCAGCGGCTGACTCAGGGAAACCAGGGCAGAGCTCCCACCCCACCCCAGGCCCCTCATAGCCCCCCCCTTCCGATAGTCCGACATATTTGATAATCCGGCACCCCCTGGGTCCTAAAAGTGCCGGATTATGTGATGTTTACTGTAACTAGATGGAAAAGTAACAAATAATATACTCATGGAGAAACTCCATGGACCTAGAACTTAGTTATAAAGAAAAGCCAAAACATTGTTTAAAAGTGCACAGACAGCAGATCCCATACCTAAACCATAAAACAATGAAACCTAACGAATTTATCTAGGTTATCTATTTACAGAAAGTGAAGAAACAGTCTTTCATTGGAGAGAGACAGAGTGTCTGTCCCCCTCAATAGCTGGAGAGAACTGCCCCCAGAACAAAGGAAGGAAACCCCCAAAATTCCTTTGTGCCAGTTTGAAATGCCTACCTACATTCCTATTGGCCACTCCACCTGGCTAGGTAAGGGATGTAGTTAACCCCTTATTCCCCAGGCTGCTAGCTAACCCTCATGATCACGACACATAGTTACAAGTGTGCTTTTGATATTTGTTGGTAAATTGACTTGGTTTTTTTTTTTTAACTGTAGTATAAGGTGCTTTGTGAAGAGTATTTTGTTACAATCCTTCTTGACACCTTTCCTTGCATTTATCAAACTTCCAGGTCTTTATGCATTTTGAAACTTAACTCTGCCAGTCATTATAGGGTCTGATATTCTTCCTCTTTGAATTTTCCAGTGCCAAAATAGCATCATATATTTGTAATTGCTCTTAATCTATATCAGTGATGGGCAATAATTTTTGCGGGCAGGGGGCACTCAATGAATTTTGGTACTGGTCATGGGCTGGCTCCACCTCCATCTTGGAAGGGGCAGAGCCTGGACCAGAAGGAACAGGTCTATGGTCTAGCCTCCCCTCGAGTTGTCTGAAGCCAGAGGTTTTGAAGTGAAAACACAGCAAAGTGCTTGTGGCTCCCAGCCCCACTGCTGTAGCATTGCCTGGTAGCCCCCTGGGGTTGCTATGGATTTTTAAAAGGCTCACTGCACCGACCCATGCTGGGGTAGTGCTGTGACCCATTTAAATAGGATCATGCTGCCTAAGCCACCTCCTGGAAATTCGGTGATATGGGCAGCAGGATATAAATAGAAAGCAGCCAGATGAAGTCTGCGGACCTGATCAAAGAGTTAGGCGGGCCAAATCTGGCCCTTAGGCTGCATCTTTCTCAACCACGATCTACAGGTTGCACCTTCAAAAACCAGCACACTCTGCTCAGGCACCGTCAGAGAGGCCAGGAACCTAAGGGCTGGAGGGCCGGCCAGGGCTGGGGGCAGCATGTGACACAGGCTGAAGGATCGCAGCAGTGCGGGGCCATAAGCCTGCAGTAGCCCCATAGAGCACGGGGCCCCGGAGCCAGAGCCTGGGCCACCCAGGAAGCCAGTAGCAGCTGGGTGAGCAACCCAGCCAGGTTTGGGGTGAGGGGTAGGGGCAGAGTACCTGCAGGGGTAGCCAGCTGGCAGCCAGTGATGAGCTTGGGGGCTGGTGGCAGGGGAGCTCCCTTGGTCCAACATATTTCTTTGGGGCTGCTCTGGTCCCAGTGGTGTTGGACTAGGCAGGTCCAACCTGTACGGTGGCGGAAGGAAAATAATCTCTGATAATACAAACTGTTAATGTGACACTTTTTGGAACTCTTTAAAAAAATTGTAAGGAGCAGTTAATGGTCTTCTGAAAGTAGTGTTTTTAGATAGTTTTAGGGTTTATACTTTTTTCCCCAGAGTATCTTTTTGACATTTTCGATCAAAATTGAATATTTGTCTTTCTGTTGTTGTTTAGAGCTTGCGTATCTCTAGGATCCAAAACCCGGGCCATAGGAAATGCAGCAAAAAGTCAGGTAAACAGATTTAAACTTGTTACTTTACAGGAATTTACACAATCTTTAAATTGCTCATATCCTGTTGAATTGTGAAATAAGTGTAAGGGTGAAGAAATCTAATATATTGTTTCATGTCTTAACTTAAAATATGCTTAAAATTTCCTTGCTGTTTTACCAGTTGTTACTAAATCATTAGGCTGAACTCTTTTCTATTAAAACTAATTGAAATATTGCCTGTGGTTAATTCTTGATCTGTTTTCTTTTTAGAGGAAAGATGGGAGTAATGTAGGACTTGGTTTATTCACCAATGAAGAAATAAGGAGCTTTCTTTATGGGGAAGGAGGAGAATGGGGAAAGGCACAAGTCTTCAATTTTTAAGGAGTGTTAGCATTCATTAAGAAAAATTTCTGTCCCTTAAGGTTTGAAAATGGAAGCAATGTCATCTTTGTGAATTTGCTGACACAACACGGATGTTAGTAGCATTCCTAGTGTCTTGTTAGTAGCATTCCTAGTGTCATTCAGACTCATCAACTGGGGACAGTAATAAAACTTATGATTTTTGTAACTTCACTTGCTGCTGCTTGAGAGAACTAAAATCAGGAGGAAAGGCTGGGACTGGAGATAATCATGAGGAATACCTAAAAAAAATGAGGATTGAGCAGATTCTAGAGAGTGGAAGGAACAGAATATCCCTTTTTCTATAAGTGCACATGCACCCCTGTCAGGAAATTGTGGAGTAATACGGAAAGAATTCCTCCTGTTGCTTCCTAGAAGATGGGTAATTTAAATTTTAGATACTCTTATACCTTTTAGCCAAAGGAATGGCGCGTTCAGTCATGTTATGGGGCAGATGGACCAGAACACAGCAACTGGGCTTGCTGAGATGGGAGCCCTTACGTTCTTCTTTGAGTGGTTGCTCATGTGCATTCCATTTTGGGTGTGTGTGCACTGTGTGCCAGTTGCTGGAAAAATTTTCCCTAGCAGGATACCCTAGGTTAGCAGGGGAAACCCCTAGAGTGGCACCAGTATGGCTAGGTATATAGCACCCTGCCGACTGCCCCCTCCCTCAGTTCCTTCTTACCACTAGCGACAGTTGTCGGAGCTAGTGTCTCTGTCTTGGGTAAGCGTGCTTTGCCTAATTGCTTTATAGTTTATTTTCTAAAGTGTTTAGTAGTAGTTAAATTTGCAGCAGGGGTCTCTGTTTCTTTTTCCTCCTTCGTGGTAGGGTCATGCCTTGGCTCCCTGGCTTCAGACTATACAGACAGTGTGTGAAGTTTATGCCCATGGGTGATCTGCACTACTTCTGCCTGAAGTATTTGCGAGTGGCCTACTTAACAGACAAGTGTAAGAACTTTATGTCAAGAACTAGAAGAGACAGAGTTTCACCTCTGAAATCTGTTAACAGAAGTCTGTCTGGATTTTCATCTGGCGCTGCAGGCCATTGGCCCAAAAGCAGCAGTGCTCTTTTGTTGATGCGGTGTGCGCCAGCTCTCAGGAAGGAGGTGGACAAGACACCCCGGACTTCCGTCTACTGAAGCCTAGCTCTTGGCAGCGATCCCATTCTCTGGTGCAGGAAAAGGAGTAGAGGTGGGAAAGGGGGCGAGTCTACTATTTCCCGAGCCAAGAGGCTTAAAGGGTTGCATGCTGAGTTGCAGCACTCTTTGAAACAACCCGCCCCTGTAGCACTGACTCTGGCGCTGCCTCCAGTACCATGGAGTCTGGTGCAAGTGGACTCCCCATCCCGGGAGAGCTAAATGGGAGATGTGGAAATGCCATCTGTTCCTGAAACGTGTGAGGCTGTCCAAGACCTGATTGAGCTAATGTCTGACCGTTCAGTGTCTCCCTGTGAGTCTTTGGTGGTTCTGCCAGCACCATTGCCAGTACCGGACTTGGTACAGTCAAGGAGCAAGTCTCCAATGTTATGAAGGTCCCTTTCACCTCTGTATCATTCACCTCGGTGCCGATCTGGTAAGGACGCCTGTTCCAGGTGGAGTCCTCCCAGTTGGCTTTGGTCGCGGAGCCGGGATTCACGACCTCTCGACTGCTGCAGTGTGGGCTCCTGTACAAGGTGGAGTCCTCACAGGTGGCATTGGTTGATCAGTGGGGGTGGTTCCCTTTGTCACCTGTTCCAGTGGGGGAGGACTTCTGTACAATGTGCAGTCCTTCCAGTGACCGTACACCTGTGCACAAGCTACCAGAGCAGTACAGCTCCTCGGTGGTCCCTGCATTCCACAACCACTTCTGAGTTGGAACTGGAGGGCCACTGGTACAAGAGGAGGCACTGCTCAGCACAGGTTCCTCCAGAAAGGAGATGGGTTGGCCCTACAATGTCCTCCCTATTGGCTGTTCTGGAGCACTTGGGCCTACCACCAGGTGCAAGCTGGTGGCTCCAGGTCAGTTTCTATTGCTTTGATCAGTAGGGGCACTCTTTCAGTGACTGTGGGTCAAGATCTCGCAGCAGGGATACAGTTGTCTCAGACTGTGCTGGGGTTGGAGATACCTGCTGTGGAGTTCTGTTTGGCACCGAGCTCCCACTAGGGACATGCACAGGCTTCCCAATCTGGGGAGGACCAATGGCACTGGGTTCCAGGGATGACTCTGCACCTGGTACCATCTGCTTCACAGCACTCAGGTGCTGGTGTCAAAGGGCATGTGCCCAAGGTACTGGTACTGGAGGTGGAACAGGAAGAAGGGGAGCTGTGCGACCCCTCCTCTTTGTCACCTGATGAGGCAGTAATTGGGGCAGTGACATCGCTGTCCCCTATGGACAATAGGGTGCATCAAGACCTATTGAGGCAAATGGCCCAGAGTATGGGCCTGCTAATAGATGAGGTCGTGCAGGATGCAGATCCTATAGTGACATCATGTCTTGGGGGGACAGGGGGAGCCTTTATCAGATCCTCTCCTCCACCAGGAAAACCCTTTGGCAGACCACCCACTTCCATTCTCCTGACCACTAAAGGGGTGGAGCAGTGGTACTTTGTCCCTTCGAAGGGGTACGAGTATACGCACCTGTAACCGGGAACCTTGGTCATGGATGCAGCTAATGCTAAGGAATGCCAATGTCAGTAGGGCCCAAGTCCAAGGACTCTAAGAGTTTGGACCTGTTGGGGAGGAAAGTATACTCATCCGGTTGTCTCCAGCTGAAGGTGGCAAATCAACAGGCAGCATGTTGTCCGCTACAATTTTAATACATAGGTGACCATGGACAAATTTTAAAGAGCTCCTCCCGTCAGATTCTAGGTTTGAATTTGCATCCCTCATAGAGGAAGGGAGGGTAATTTCCCAAACCTCTATTCAGGCAGCTCTGGATGTCTCAGATTCTGGTCAGGTCTATGTCAACAGGCATAGTTATAAGGCAAAACTCTTGGCTCTAGGGCTGTGTCTGGACTGCATCCCTTTTTTGTAAAAGGGATGCAGATTAGACATATCGCAATTGCAAATGAAGCGGGGATCTAAATCTCCCCCGCTTCATTAGCATAAAAATGGCTGCCGCTTTTTTCCGGCTCGGAGCTTTGCCAGAAAAAAGCGCCAGTCTAGACGCGGATCTTTCGGAAAATAAAGCCTTTTCCGAAAGATCCCTTATCCCTTCACACATCTGTAACATAGTGGAAGCATTTCAAGCCAACTCTGACCCTCAGATATTATCCTCCTTGTCAGAGGCAGGACCAGAATAGGCGGAGTAGTAGGCAAAGTCGCTGATGTCCCCTTAGTGTCAATGGTAGTGGTAGTGGCAGCACTGATAACCAGGCCCAGTCTTCTAGGCAGTCACCAGATCCTAGGAAGAACTTTTGAAGGTGCACCCAAGAGCAATGTATCTGCCTCCTCCTCGGATCCTGTCCCGATGTTTGGGGACCACTTGTCCCATTTTTACCATGCCTGGACCTGAGTCGCATCTGACAGGTGGGTTCTAGGCACGGTAATGATGGGGTATTCAATTCAGTTTCTTTCCACCACACCTTCCCATTCTCTGGCCCCATCCCTTTTCAAGGTCCTATCTCATAAGAGGCTCCTGTGTTAGGAGGTGCAGACACTCCTCGAAGTAGGACCAGTTGAGGAGGTCCCTGTACAGTTCAGGGACACTGGGTTCTATTCCTGTTATTTCCTTATTCCCCAAAGACAAGGGTTGGCTACGGCCCATTTTGGATCTATGCAGACTAAACAAGCACCTCAAGAAGTTAAAATTCCATATGATATCCTTGGCCTCAATCATCCATTCACTGGATTCGTGAGACAGTATGCTGCCCTCGATCTGAAGGGGACATATTTTCATGTGGCCATGCTTCCAGTTCACAGAAGGGGGGGGGGAGAGTTCCCACTATCAGTTTTGCATACTCTGTTCCCTTTCGGCTTCTTTGATGCACCAAAGGTGTTTACAAAATGCATGGCAGTGGTGGTGGCATTTGTGTCGTAGAGGGGTTCAGGTTTTCCCTTTCCTGAACAACTGGTTGGTCAGGCGGCCCTCTGAAGCGGTGGTCAGGGCTCACATAGAGCTTATCATGACAATGTTCTGGTGGTTGGGTGTATTGCTGAACCTTTAGAAGTCGACCCTGTCATTCACGTAAGTTGTATAGTTTGTAGGGACACATTTATACTCCCTGGAAGCCAGGGCATCCCTCCCTTAGCCCCGTTTCAAGGGCATGTGCAGACTGGTTTGGGGTCTGGGAGCCCATCCAATTACGACAGCCTGGGCTTGCCTTCAGTTGTTGGAGAAATGGCTTCCTGCACCCATGTTGTCCCCTTCTCTAGACTGCAGCTCCGCCCCCTACAGATGTGGTTGACCAGTGTGTACAAGCTGTCTTGCCATCATCTGGACAGTGTTAACGGAAAATAAAGCCTTTTCCGAAAGATCCCTTATCCCTTCACACATCTGTAACATAGTGGAAGCATTTCAAGCCAACTCTGACCCTCAGATATTATCCTCCTTGTCAGAGGCAGGACCAGAATAGGCGGAGTAGTAGGCAAAGTCGCTGATGTCCCCTTAGTGTCAATGGTAGTGGTAGTGGCAGCACTGATAACCAGGCCCAGTCTTCTAGGCAGTCACCAGATCCTAGGAAGAACTTTTGAAGGTGCACCCAAGAGCAATGTATCTGCCTCCTCCTCGGATCCTGTCCCGATGTTTGGGGACCACTTGTCCCATTTTTACCATGCCTGGACCTGAGTCGCATCTGACAGGTGGGTTCTAGGCACGGTAATGATGGGGTATTCAATTCAGTTTCTTTCCACCACACCTTCCCATTCTCTGGCCCCATCCCTTTTCAAGGTCCTATCTCATAAGAGGCTCCTGTGTTAGGAGGTGCAGACACTCCTCGAAGTAGGACCAGTTGAGGAGGTCCCTGTACAGTTCAGGGACACTGGGTTCTATTCCTGTTATTTCCTTATTCCCCAAAGACAAGGGTTGGCTACGGCCCATTTTGGATCTATGCAGACTAAACAAGCACCTCAAGAAGTTAAAATTCCATATGATATCCTTGGCCTCAATCATCCATTCACTGGATTCGTGAGACAGTATGCTGCCCTCGATCTGAAGGGGACATATTTTCATGTGGCCATGCTTCCAGTTCACAGAAGGGGGGGGGGAGAGTTCCCACTATCAGTTTTGCATACTCTGTTCCCTTTCGGCTTCTTTGATGCACCAAAGGTGTTTACAAAATGCATGGCAGTGGTGGTGGCATTTGTGTCGTAGAGGGGTTCAGGTTTTCCCTTTCCTGAACAACTGGTTGGTCAGGCGGCCCTCTGAAGCGGTGGTCAGGGCTCACATAGAGCTTATCATGACAATGTTCTGGTGGTTGGGTGTATTGCTGAACCTTTAGAAGTCGACCCTGTCATTCACGTAAGTTGTATAGTTTGTAGGGACACATTTATACTCCCTGGAAGCCAGGGCATCCCTCCCTTAGCCCCGTTTCAAGGGCATGTGCAGACTGGTTTGGGGTCTGGGAGCCCATCCAATTACGACAGCCTGGGCTTGCCTTCAGTTGTTGGAGAAATGGCTTCCTGCACCCATGTTGTCCCCTTCTCTAGACTGCAGCTCCGCCCCCTACAGATGTGGTTGACCAGTGTGTACAAGCTGTCTTGCCATCATCTGGACAGTGTTAACTGTCAGTGATAGAGGTTCTTTGTTGGTGGTTGGACCCTCTCCACACGTGCAGAGGGGTTCCGTTTCGCACCCCTTGGCTCACCCTTACTTTGGTTACAGATACCTCGGACTTGAGATGGGGTGCTCATCTGGGTGGACTCAAGACTCAAGTGTCTGGTCTTGAGTAAAATGTGCAATTCACATCGACGTAAAGGAGCTCAGGACTGTACAGTTGGCCTGTGGGGCCTTTTTGGGCGACATAAGGGGGAGGTGTGTGTCATTTCTCACCGAGAACACCACAGCAGTATTCTATACTCCCTCTCTTCCCCTGTACAAGGAGGCCATGTCGCCGGGGGAGTTATGTGTGCGCAACCAGATGCGCATTTTGACCCTGTACCTGCCGAAGTCTCAGAACTTGCTGGTGGACAACCTCAGCAGTTCATTGCAAATGCACAAACGGTCCCTCAAGTGGGAGGTTGTGCAGGGCCTTTTCCAGATGTGAGATTGTCTTTATGTGGACCTCTTTTCTGCAAGGGGGAACAAGAAGTGCCTGGCCTTCTGTTCTTACCGGGACAACAGCAGAGGCTCCTTGGGTGACGCCTTCCAAATTCATTGGGGGGGGAGAGGGCATATTGTATACATTTCCCCCCTTCCCCTTGATTCCCAAAGTGCTGACCAAGGCCTGTGAGGACAGTGCGGACCTCATTTTGATAGCACTGGCCTGGCACAGGCAGCACTGGTACACAAGGCTCCCATCACCTCCCAATAGCACCTCCCCAATCTCCCTCCCCTTGTTTCTGGACTTGTCCCAGAACTGTGGCTCATTGCAGCACCCCAGCCTCCAGGCTTTACACTTGATGACATGGTTCATTCAGTACATTGGAGAAGCAATGCTTGGAGGATGTCAGGGAGGTGTTGTTAGGTAGTAGGAAGCCTTCCACTCGGCCTATATATGCTTCCAAGTGGAAGAGGTTTGCTTTGTGGGCCTTACAGAGGGACACCCAGCCCTTGCAGGCTTCATTTCCATTCATTTTGGAGTACTTTGGGTTAAAACAACAGGGATTGGCCATTTAGTCCATTAACGTGCACTTGGCTGCAATATCAGCATTTCATCCCAGATCGGGGGGCCATTCGATATTTGTAGATTGCTTGGTGAGCCAATTCGTTGAGAGCTTGGTTCAGTTGTACAAGGGATGTACTCACATTCTTCCTCCTTCCCCCCACTATATCAGAGGCAGCAAGGGGGGGGGAGGTAGGAGCCAGCTTAAAAGCTGGTTTCCCCTAGCATGGTCTCCACTTCCCTTGCCCCCCACTCCCTTTGGCTACCTCTATCACTGTGGCTCTACAATTTAAAAGGCATTAGGAGCCGGGCAGGCAGGCAGTGCAGCTCAGTTCCTGCTCACACTGTGTCAGGGACCAAACCCTGCTGTGGCTCTGCAATTAAAAATGCATTAGGAGCCGGGGAGCAAGCTGCCTGCCTTCTCTTGTCTTTTAAATTGCAGAGCCGCAGTATGGTTTGGTGATGGGACTGAGTGGGGCCGCCTATTGACTAGTTGATAAAATTCTATCATCTGCTTGGTTCCTAAATTTAACATCCCTAGATTGTGCCCGCATTTGAGGGAACCAGTACCTCAATGGGAATTAAACCTGGTCTTATCAAAGTTAATAGCTCCTCCGAGCTGTTAGCTACTAGATCTTTATTGTATTTGTCAATGAAAGTTGTATTTTTGGTGGCCATTACTTCTGCCAGACAGGTTTCTGAACTAAAAGCGTTGATGTCAGAACCTCCTTATACTGTGTTCTTTAAAGATAAGATTTGGTTGAGACCATCCTTCGTTCCTCCTGAAAGTGGTTTCCCAGTTACATGTGGACATTTTTCTGCCTGTTTCATCCTAAGCACCACCTTACCCCCCGGGACAGGTCCCTACTTTCCCTGGATGTCAGTTTGGCTTTAGGTTTTTACCTGGAACGTACTAAGCCATTCAGGAAGTCTAATCAATTGTTTGTTGCAATAACACAGAGGCTGAAAGTGCTGCCTGTTACTGCCCAGAGGATATTCTCCTGGATCATGGGGTTTATTCATACTTGTTACAAATTAGCGAAAGTGCCAGCCCCTCAGCTGTCTGCCCACTTGACTCGTGCTGGCCTTGTCAACAGCCTTTCTCGCACATGTTCCCATCCAAGACATTAGTTGAGTGGCCACATGGACTTCGGTACACACGTTTACATACCACTATGATAGTCACTGTCATGCTAGGGAGGATGCTGTGTTTGAAAGGGCAGTGTTGCAGGCTGCAAACTGGTGATATCCGACCGTTCCGCCAGATAGCTGCTTGGGAATCGCTAAAATTGGAATGCGTATGAGCAATTACTTGAACTGGTGTTACCTTTCATACTGGTATTCTTCAAGATGTGTTGATCACATCCATTCCAAAAGCCTCACGCCTCTCCTCTGTTGGAGTTACTTCCAGCAAGAGGGAACGGAGAGGAGGGAACAGTTGGCAGTGTGCTGCATACCTAGCCATACTGGTGTCACTATAGGGGGTCCCCCCTACCGACCTCTATCATCCAGCTAGAGAAAATCATCCCAGCAACTGTGCATTTGCCATGTACACACCTAAATTGGAATGGATATGAGCAACACCTCTCTAAGAACACCAGTTACTAAAGGTTGGCTTCCAGCTGTTACCCTGTATTCACTAGCCTGAGAATTAAGCTATGCTTTTTCAAAGTTTGGAGTGCAGTTGTAGCTGACTTAAAAAATCCTGTGTTCATTAAACAAAATAAGCAAGTTCTTTTGATATATGATGATTCAAAGTCAAGAGTTTTAAATCACCATCCTGAAATATTGAGAGTGTAGCTAAGGGGAGAACTCTTCTTGACTTGAGATTTGACTTGAAACATTTTTGGTACTTTAAGCCATGAAAATTACTGAATATTTAATTACAGTATTTTAATAACATTGGTAAGATACTTGCATATTCAGTCATTGGATTAGTATGTAATTAATTTACTGTCCAAATTGGATATAACAGGAAGCTCTTAAAATAAAGGAGGGTGCAAACTAGTGAAATACTGATGTATACATGTGAAGAGGGTTTGTATATTAATAGGTCTCATAAATAAAGTGACGTGACATGCTTAAGAGTTGTCGTCATTGGGAAGTGAGGATAAAGGTACATAGCTCAAATGTTGATGTTCGTGGTAGAGATTTTAAAACGTATGTAGTTGAGTAACCGTGTAACCACTCAATTTTTCAGTGGTTACACGTGAGGCTCTGTATCAGAGGAGCCATGTGTTATACTGGGAGCCATGTGTAACCGTTTGAGTAACTGGTAAGCTCATGCTAAACGGTTACCCATTTAAACGGCTACACTCTTACATCCCAAGTTCATGGCAGGCCACTCATTCCTGTTGAGAATTCGAAGCCCTCCTGAGATAAATGTGACAATCTGTGGAAAATAAATGTATTGCTATGAGATGCATACCAGAAAACACACACATTGGCTGTGTCTACACTGGCATGAATTTCCGGAACTGCTTAAAACTTAATACTATTCAGTTTTCAGTTTTTCCGGAAAAGGAGCGTCTACATTGGCAGGCTGCTTTTCTGGAAAAGCCCTTTTTCCGGAAAAGGGCCAGTGTAGACAGCCCAGTAGTCTTTTCCGGAAAAGAGCCCCGATCGCCATTTTCGCGATCGGGGTTTTTTTCCGGAAAAGACTACTGGGCTGTCTACACTGGCCCTTTTCCGGAAAAAGGGCTTTTCCAGAAAAGCAGCCTGCCAATGTAGACGCTCCTTTTCCGGAAAAACTGAAAACTGAATAGTATTAAGTTTTAAGCAGTTCCGGAAATTCATGCCAGTGTAGACACAGCCAATGTGTGTGTTTTCTGGTATGCATCTCATAGCAATACATTTATTTTCCACAGATTGTCACAAACGTAAAGAACACGTTACATGGCTTCAAAAAGATGCACGGACGAGCATTTGATGATCCATACATACAAGGTGAAAGGGCCAGAATTCCATATGAGCTTCAAAAGATGCCAAATGGGAGTGTAGGAATAAAGGTGAGTTTTGCAGTTTCCACATGCACCTGCAGCTGTCACTGTGTCATTATTTTGACAAGCAAGTGGAACTTTTGTGCTTGGCATTGCTTTACTGTCAAATGAAATTGCTTCACTTAGCTTACAATTTTAACTTCCTTAAATTCTGTGAAGGTAGCTCTGGATATAAACATACCCATCCAACCTGGGGGAGGGAAGAAAATGAAGCTGTTTTAAGGAAGGCTTCATGGAAGATAGAGGACAAGAAGTGTGTTCTTTTTTTTGCATTCTGCTTCTTTGATGACAAAATCAAAATTCTCGTGAGGCAAGATTAATTACTAAAACTCAGAATGTTGACTTTCCAAGAAATTAAACTGGCCACATCCTAGATGATATTCAGCTGAAAGAGATGGAGATGTTAAATGGAGTTAAAATTTGTAGTCCTGATCTTCCTCCTATGCGATACCATTGACTGATACTTGCCTCTAGAAAACAGATAGTAAGAGCTGATGTTGGCATTCTTGTTGCAGTACACATACAAATACCAAATTATGCTCAACATATTTCTAGTCATAACAGTGGTTTAAAAAAAAAAAGGTCTGGTAGCACTTTATAGACTAACGAAACATAAATGGTATCATGAGCTTTCATGGGCACAGCCTACTTCTTCAGATGGCTGGAGTTATGAGCTGAGGATATGAAAACTTGAAATAAATAGAGGGGAAGGGGGGGAGGAGGGAGAGAAAGAAAAAGGGCAGGGGTGGGAGACGGAGCATCATTAAGTATCTGGATAATGGGTACTTAAACCTAAGCAGGTGATAATCAAAGTCAATAGAGGGATTCCTAAAACAGGAAGGATACCATTCAGGGAGCTGTTGGCACCTTCAGTGGTTACCTAGGTATATTAAGTAGTCCCCACCAGCCCATATCACGATTGAGCCATAATCATGTGAACTGAATTTGTGGATCAACTGGGATTCCACGGCTTCTCTGTGTATTTTGGATTGTAGTGCTGGTTTGTGACAAGACAGCTACTTGCAGGTCTGTCAGACTGTGGTTAGGCAAGCTGAAATGCTCACCAACAGGCTTCTGTATATTCCCTTTGTGTACAGTAAAACTACGATGGTCCGGCATCTGATGGTTCGGCACTCCTGATGGTCCGGCACCATCAGGAACCTGGAAGTGCTCCGGGCAGCGGGACCATTGGAGCTGCTCTGCCCCCAGCTTCCTCGATTCAGCCGCTGCTGCTACTGACCAGCGGATGACTCCAGGACGGGGGCAGAGCAGCTGGGGCACTGCCTGCCAGATAGGTCCCATAGTGCTGCCCCTCAGGGCTGCAGGACCAACCCGGCAGCACCCCAGCTGCTCTTGGGGACGCCCGGGGCAGAGCAGCTGGGGTGCTGCTGGGTTGGTCTTGCTGCGCCAAGAGTTGGTGCTACCGGACCAACCCAGCAGCACCCCAGCTGCTCTTGGGGACGCCCGGGGCAGAGCAGCTGGGGTGCTGCTGGGTTGGTCTTGCTGCGCCAAGAGTTGGTGCTACCGGACCAACCCAGCAGCACCCCAGCTGCTCTTGGGGACGCCCGGGGCAGAGCAGCTGGGGTGCTGCTGGGTTGGTCTTGCTGCGCCAAGAGTTGGTGCTACCGGACCAACCCAGCAGCACCCCAGCTGCTCTTGGGGACGCCCGGGGCAGAGCAGCTGGGGTGCTGCTGGGTTGGTCTTGCTGCGCCAAGAGTTGGTGCTACCGGACCAACCCAGCAGCACCCCAGCTGCTCTTGGGGACGCCCGGGGCAGAGCAGCTGGGGTGCTGCTGGGTTGGTCTTGCTGCGCCAAGAGTTGGTGCTACCGGACCAACCCAGCAGCACCCCAGCTGCTCTTGGGGACGCCCGGGGCAGAGCAGCTGGGGTGCTGCTGGGTTGGTCTTGCTGCGCCAAGAGTTGGTGCTACCGGACCAACCCAGCAGCACCCCAGCTGCTCTTGGGGACGCCCGGGGCAGAGCAGCTCTGCCTCGGGCTTCCTGGAGCCAGCCGCTGATCAGTTTCAGCAGCGGCTGAATCAGGGACTCCTGGGGCAGAGCCGGACTATCGGAAGGGGGGGCTATGAGGGGTCGGCGGGGGGAGAATGCCACCCCAGACCCCTCATGGCCCCCCTTCCGATAGTCCGGCATATCTGATAATCCGGCACCCCCTGGGGCCTAAAGGTGCCGGATTATCGGAAGTTTACTGTATATCCGATTTGTGTCCATGGATTCTTTCCCGCAGAGACCGTCCAGTTTGTCCAGTATATATAGCAGTGGTGTACTGCTGGCATTTGATGGCATAAGATCAAATTACTGGATGTACAGTCAAATGACTCTTTGATTTTGTGGCTTATGTTTGCTCCAGTGATGAATTTGCCAGTGTAGATATGTGGGCAGAGTTGGCATCTCAAGTTCTGGTATATTCTGCTTTCATTTTAACATCTGAGGGATTAAGGTCTGCTTTCTTAGCATGACCAGGGACTTGTGGGCTATGTCTACACTGGCAGGGTATTGCACAAGAACAGCCATTCTTCCGCAGAGCGTCCACACTGCCCACCCACTCTTGTGCAAGATTTACAGTACGGCGTGGTAAGAGGGCTTCATGTGCAAGATCTACTCTGTTCTAACAGGTGTAAGCTCTCTTGCGCAAGAGGTCTTGCACAAGAGGTCAGTGTGGACTCGCGGCAGGGATTTCTTGCGCAAGAAAGCCCTATGGCTAAAATGGCCATCAGAGCTTTCTCGCTCAAGAGTGCATCCACACTGCCATGGATGCTCTTGCGCAAAAGCACATCTCACACATGGCAGCGTGGATGTGTTCCTGCGCAAGAGTTCTTGCACAAGAACCCTTGCGCAAGATGTTCTTGAGCAAACAGCCACCAGTGTAGACACAGCCTTAGAGTTGGTGTTCGGAAAGATGGCATATGGAATGCTATAGATTACTTGATATCATCCTGTCCTTAATTCGATATCCAAAATACACTTCTGTCTAAGCATCCTGCGAAGCGCTTCTGATAACAAATTGGCATCATTTCCTGGAGTAATTTCTGCGCAGGAACACGTCATTTTGGATGAGAGTGTATAAGTGTAGCTTGTTCACGTCAATGTGCTTTGTGCCTGTGTAGTATGTCCATAGTCCTGGCACTAACCCCGAACTGTTGAATTTATTCATGTGCTCAACAGAGCTCTGAAAATTCAACACTTCCGTGCAGGCAGAGATGTTTGGCATATTGTTCAGTCTCTTCTGTTGTGGTCTCAATTCTAGTCTTCTCTGTGTTGATCAAGATAACTGATATAAAGAACTAAATCAATCAGAAAGCAGAAACAGTTAGAAAAAGCTGGATTTTTTTCAGTTCTTCTTACAGATGACTACTTGTACAATTCATTTTCTCATTGTTGTAGTAAGTAGAACCCTGTGCATATACAAAACGGGTATCCAATCTGCAAAAATGATCTGCGGATGTCCACCTCTGCATCTGTGTATGCAGATACCCAGTAGGGATGTTAAATTAGCTAATCAAGTCGTTGATGGAATTTTCATCGACTATTCAATTAGTCAATAAAGGCACCTTTGCCTTTGAAATGTAGCAAGAGTCCTGCTGTGAGGACTGTAGTGAGGAGCACGGGGCCAGTGGGGGACTCAAGCAGTCCCCTGCTGGTCCCATGCTCTCTGCTTTTAAAATGTACCAGAGTCCATTAACAGACTGTGTAGACAAACCATTATGTGATCTAGAATTTTGGGCAGTAGCAGCACCAAATTAGCATTCCCTACATCAACATGTGAGTGTGTATATACTCTTATTAAATCTCAGTCCTTTTCTCTTTACCTGGATGGAACCCCACCCTTTGATATAATCAGTTTAGTTGCTTTCCCGTATTTATATATTTGATATGTGGTACAGTTTTCAGTTGCATGGTATTGTTATTTAACTGGTTATTTTCATGCATGAGCTGCTTCTTTTTAATAGACATTTCAGCATTTTGAATGTCTCCCAAGTTAATATATGTAATATAAGAATTGCTGCACGAATGCACCAGGCCAACTCAAATCCTCTTTTGAGTGCTGTCTAGGATTAGAGTAAGAACTTAGAGAAAGCTATTTCTCTAAATAGCTTGCCTAGAAGGGTTCGAAATGTAAATTAGAGGCTTCAGAGGAGAAATTCAAACATGACACACTATCTCTGGGAGGACATTAGTTTTCTCACTTGACATATGTCATGTTTGTTTACTCCTAGGTTGAATGTGGATTTTTCTACACCTGTTTGAAACTTTTGAGGAAAAAATTTAGAAAACTTTGTCTAAAATAAGCATCTCTAATTATCTTATTAACATGAAATGACACCTACTGACCATCTTCAGAGTGGCTGCATTTAGGTCTTAAAAGACCTAAGAAATATTGGGATAAAACAACCTATAAAAATCCATTGATTTGTACTGTGAAAATATTTTTCTGCTTTACAGTTGTTTAATCTTGTGTTTCAGGCACGCTACCTAGATGAAGAGAGACCATTTGCAATTGAACAGGTTACAGGAATGCTATTGGCTAAGCTTAAGGAGACTTCAGAAAGTGCACTAAAAAAACCAGTGGCAGACTGTGTTATTTCTGTAAGTTTGTAATATGTTTACCAGAATTCTGCTATAATGGGTAATTGTATGTAAAAAGTAAATTTATAATGGTTTGTTAACTGGAAAAGATCCAGTTGATGTGCTGTCAGAAACCACCCAGAAGAAAATAAAACTAAAATATATGCTGAAAAGCACAAAATATATTTTTAATAATTAATACTCATTAACCCAAAAAAATTTCAGGCATGTCTTGTGTAGAGGGTGGGGTTAAGAGCCAAAATTTGCTTGACAACTTTGTGGTGGTCTTCAGATGAAAACAGGCTCTGGTACAGCATGAGGCTTCTTGATACATGCTATAGAATTTATATCTACTCTACAAGAAGTGCTGAAGCTCTGTGATGCTATAGGTACTATTGACAATTCTACTGAAATGTGAGAATTATACCTCACTTGCATATTTCTACGAAATCTCTGAGCTCTTTGCTTGCAACATGTTTTCATAGCATATTTTCGATGCCACGTTTTTGTGTGTGTGTGTGTTTTTTTAATATCTTAGCTCCATTCTTACTGCCTTCCTTGTGTTCTTTGTTTTGGTGCAATTTTCAGCCACCCCCTCACACCTCTGACGTTAAATGTAAGCGGTAGCTTCCTGTAATAAGGAGATTAATTTTTTGAAATTATTTTGTGTTTATTTCTTGAGCATGGGGGGCAGACATAACTTGGATTAGTTTAGAAAATGAGCTGAAATTTCACTGTTACATAAATGTTGAAATATTTTCTCTGTGTACAAAAAAATTAAGGTATAATCCTTTTTTCTTAATCTTGCATTGAGATTTTTTTTTAATGTTAAATGTGATTTGTTTAGAAACACTTGTGCATCTTGCATCTGGATTTTCGCAGATCCTAAAAATCTTGATAATGCAGGATATTTATTGTCTTAAAACCAGCTTCGATAATTGGAAGTTGTAATAACTTTTAAAAAGATCTAGCAATTTTAATCAGTCTGAATTAATAAAATAGAACTGATATTTTAAATGTCCATATTAGTCAGACTTGTGGAATTGTTTTGTTTTTTGGATATGTTAACTCTTAAAGTGAGCATAGGATTTTGGATGTCATGAAACTTGTATAATGGAGTATAACCTTTGTTTTGAAAACAGGTCCCTAGTTTCTTTACTGATGCTGAGAGACGGTCTGTAATGGCATCTGCTCAGGTTGCAGGTTTAAACTGTCTGAGGCTGATGAATGAAACTACAGCAGGTAAAATTTTAATACTTGCTAGAAGCAGAACAGGAATAAGTGTGTAATGCTGTTTTTAACAGTCTAAAAACTCTTAAACTTGGAATATTGGATTTTGAACAATAATTATTTAATCACTCCTATGTTAAAAATATATAAAATCTACAGGCTGAACCTTCCAAATCCAAAATACTCTGGTCTGGCAACATCTGTGGTCCCATGGGGCCAGGGATGTAGCTGGACCAAACAGCCCCAGAGCAACACAGGGCTGGAGAGCTCACAGGAGGCATCTGGTGAGCCACCGCCTGGCTCAGAACTCCCAGCATTGATGGGGCCAGGCAGGTGGCTGTGTAAGCAGGGCCAGGTGGTGGCCAGGGAACTCCCACCCTATCTGGTTAACCCCTGGCCAAGAACCTCGAGAAACCCCTGGTGGCTGGGGTGGCTGGGCAGTCTCCGCTGGGAAACCCCCCGGGCTGAAGTGGGGCTTGTGGAGGCAGGTGGCTGGAGTCGCTAGGGGCAGCAGGGCAGCTTCAGCAGTGAGTTAGGGTGGCCGTGTGGCCCCAGCCAGGAACCCTGGAGAACATCCTGCGGCAGTGAGATGGGAAGCGGCCAAGCAGTCCCTGCTAGGGACCGTAGGAGACCCTGTGGCAGTGGGTGGGCAGCAAGGTGAGGAGCAGTGCTGGGCCAGCAGCAGGGCAGGAAGCTTGGGAGTGGAGCAGCAAGCAGAGGAGCACAGACCGCCCCTGGTCAGACAAACTCCCTGGTCTAGGACAATTCAGATCTGGACGATGCCGAACTGGAGAGCTCCAGCCTCTACAAAATATTGATAGTTTAGTTGTCTGTTACGCTTTTCTTTTCTGACAGTCCACTTAGAATAATTACATCTGGAGTAGTGTACTCCACTTTAAAAAAAAAAAAAAAAAAAGTCTTTGAAAATTCAGAGGCATGGGGGTTTTGTTATTGACTTAATCATTAAAACCCAGGACTGCTAGGTTCCAAGTACTGTTCCTGTATGTTTTGTCTGTTTGAGACCAGTAGCTCCTCTTAAATTTTGTTTTAGTTTCAGGGAGATAAATGTGCTGCAGAAAAGATCTGATCTCACTCACACACGTCAGGTATATATTTGGCTACAAGAAAAAAGCCTCTTTATTTTTCTCTGGGGTCTTAGTCTTGCAGCAGAGGCTTAGTCAAAGTGGACTTTGTGGGACTTCCAAGTGTTTTAGTAGGTTATTATTGAGGATACTTAGAATAGAAATCATTTCTATAATGTCCCACAATCCCCAAGTCAAGCCAATAGTACTAATATGTGTGAGTTTGATTATAACCACATCTTAAAATTTATCTAGTTTGGTGAAGTCCTACTAATGTATGGCTTAGGGATGTAAAATTTGATTAATTGGCTAATCGAATAGTCAATTCAATTTGCATCGACTATTCGATTAGTCAATAAGAGCACTTCCTCCAGGGCTGTTGCTACACTTTAAAGGTGAAAGCACCGCTGGGAACACGGGGCCAGCAGGTGGGTCAGGGCTCCATGTGGTTCTGCTACTTTGAAACTCCTTGGGGAGCCTGATGTCAGGCTCCATGTGGCATTTCAAAGCGACAGTGCCACATGGAGCCCGGGGGCGGGGAGGATCAGTTTATTCTTAACAATGATGTAGCATCTGCCAGGGTTGCCACAAAAGTCCCTATCTAAATTATATATTTTTTCTCCGCTTCAAATTTAGGTTAATATTTTTCTCTGCTTCTTACCTACCACACCTCAGTCTAGATGCCATGATTTTTGTCTGATTACACAATTATAGAATTGGCACAAACATCATTTATAAGAATGAGTAATTTGCTTATTCGTGGTATGATTGCTCAGGTCCATTCCATGTAGGTGTACATATGCTGAGTGCATGCGTCATCAGAAGTTTTTCCCTTAGCAGTAGCTCTTGGACCAGCAGAGATCCCCCTGGAGTGGTGCCAGTATATCAGCTAATATATACCCTGGCCCTCCACCCCATGTTCCTTCAACTGCTCATGACGGTTGTTGGAACATGCCTTTCCTTTTGCTCTGCAAGTGCCCCTTAGTAATTCTTTCTCGTTCTAGTAGTTGGTTAAAATTTTTACAGTTAATTATTCCTGTCTAGGTTTTTAGTAGTTAAGTGTTGTACTTGGTGTTAAGCACCCAGGAGCAGGGCTTGCTTTGTGTCCCCAGCGTGTCTGGTGGGGCATGCCCGGGCCCCAAGGCTTCCAAAAGCCTATGCCCTGTGGAAACTCTCATGCAGCCTGCCTTAAGTGCCTTGGAGAGGCCCACTTATCTGTGGCCTATAAGATCTGCAAGGGCTTCAAGCCATGCACCATGCAGGAAAGGGAATCTCTCTTGAACATTATCCCAATGAAGGCAGCTTTACACCCAACACCGGCGCCCAATCTGGCACCAGCAACCCAGAGTGCACCGGCTTCGGTGTGGGAGGCACCTAGCCACTTGTGTGTCTCCCCGGTGCCGCATAGGCTTCAGCACTGGTTGCAGTCCCTGGTGCCCCAGAAGAAGAAGAGACCTAATGGGGCAGGTCTCCATCGAAGCACGTGCCCTCTGTTCACCCTCAAGTGGGGCATGTGGCACCAACGAGCACAGCACCTGGACAATCACGGTCAGGTTGGTGAAGCGCTAGTCCATGCCAAGACACCAGTTTGGGAGGAGTCTTCCCAGAGAGCTCCACTGCAGTACCTTTGAGGCAACAAGAGACTTGATTGAGACAACCTTGGCAACAGACCTGGCCAAGGAGCGTGGACCCAGATGGCACCGCCCTGTGGTCTCTGCACCTAGCACTCTGGCCCTGGAAGCGAGAGACAGGACCAGCTGGTAGACACCCCTAAGAGCAGGAATACTAAGAAAATGGGCCTCTTGGGCAGAAAGGCCTATTGTCTGGGGGCCTTCAACTTTGCATAGTCAACCAGCAGGTCCTGCTGAGTCGCTATGCATATAACACTTGGGCAGCCACTGACAAGTTTGCCGAGCTGGTCCCTAGGGACTCTGAGTTGAAGCGCCCTCGTGGAAGAAGTCAGGGTTGGTCTCTAGGGCTGCCCTCCAGGACACCCTGGACATGGCTGATGCAGCTGCCTGCACTGTGGCCACGGGGCTTGTGCATTACAGCTCTTGGCTACAGGTGTTTGGAGTGCCCCCTGAGCTCCAGACTACTATTCAGGACCTCCTGTTAGAGGGCCATCCCTCTTTTCCAACAGACCTACCAACACCTGCACGGTCTCAAGGATAGCTGGGCTACCTTAAAGTCCCTGGGGATCCATACACTGATTACCCAGCAGCATTCCTTGTCAGGCAAATTTTTTTAAGTGGCCCCAGGCTGCCCTGAAAGGGGTGGGGTGGGGCCTAATTTGGAAGGGGCGGGTCCCGAATGCTTCTGGGCTTCCCTACCCCCAGACCATAATTAGTCTGGGGGTGCAGGAGCCCCTTTGTCCCCCTTTCCCACTAGGTGCCCACAGGGTGCGAAGAGGCTTCACAAACTCCCCCGTTCCCAGGCTCTGATGGGCCGGGGGGAGCGTGCAAAGCCTCTTTTTCCGCCCTGCAAGCAGCACATGGCACTTCAAAGCACCATGTGCTGCTTGCAGGGTGGGAGGAGATGTTGTACGCCCTTCCTGCCCCCAGGCCAATCCGAGCTTGGGGGTGGGGGAGTGTGTTACGTTTCCTCCCGCCCTGCGAGCAGTACGTGGCGCTTCAAAGGGCTACGTGCTGCTCACAGAGCGGGAGGAAGCTTTGCGTGCTTCCCTGCCCCCAAGCCCTAATTAGCCTGGGGGCGGGAGAGTGGCAGGACCTCTGTGGGGCAGATCAACTTGCTTGGCATGCTGGATTCTGCCTGCGGAGGCCCTTTTGCCCACCCTTGCTCTAGGCCCTCTCAACAGGGCACCCATCCCAATTTTCTCTCTCCGTACAGGGAGACATGGTAATTAGAGGAATGGCAGACACTGGGCTACGGCCAGGGCCCATCAAACAACACCTTAGTGTTTGCAAATGGTTTTGGGGGTATGCCTGCGGACAGCTTACTAGCCCAACCATTCCTGTTCAGGGACCTCCTATTCTCTTTGTCAGGCCTGAGAATCCATTTCCTTGGATTGTTGGGTCCTGGAAATGGTAGGAAGGGGTATGCCATCCCCTTCTTTTCGACCCCTCTCTTCCATCCCCCTGCCCGTCCTCAGGGATCCTTCTGATAAGCATCTCCTCTGGGAAGAGGTCCAGCATCTCTCAACCGTAGGGGACGCGGAAACGGTCCCCCAGGGGTTCTTGGGCAGGAGTTTCTATTCCCAGTACTCTGGTTCCCAAAGCCAATGGAGAGTTCCGATCTGTCCTGGACCTCAGAACTCAACCCCTTCATTACCAAAGCCAAATTCAAGATGGTGACTCTGGCATCTGTCATCTCCCCCTAAGTCTCGGAGCCTGTACACTGCCCTTAATCTAAAAGATGCCTACTTTCACATTTCTATTGCACTGCACCACAGGCAGTTCCTCTACTTTATGCGGGGCTGGGACCACTATCCATTTACAGCCCTCCCTTTTGGCCTTTCGACTGCCCTTCAAGTGTCCACGAAGTGCATGGTTGTCATTTCCACTGCCCTGAGAAAGTGGGGTGTTCAGGTGTTCCCCTGTCTGGACAACTGGCTTTTCTAAGCCCCTCGTAGGATTAGGTGCTGGCCCACGTCGCTCTAGTAAAAGACCTTTTTGGGAGCTGGGGCTGCTCCTGAATGTGGCCAAGTCGATGCTGGTCCCCTCGCACCAAGGTCATAGAGTTTGTGGGTGCCCACCTGCACTCGGTCAGCCACTGCCTCCTTTTCTCATATCCTGTTTCCTGGAGATCAAAGCGGGCATGCAGTCATTCCTGATGATGAGATAGCCAGGTCTTGCATGCACCTCCTGGGACTAATAGCCGGATGCACCTACATCATTCAACACACCAGACTTCGCATGCGCCCACTACAGATGTGGCTTGTGCTAGCTCTCAGCCCGTCCCTCTGCTCTTGTGACAGAGTGGTGACGGTTCCCCCCAACGTCCTTTGCTTTCTGGACTGGTGGACCTAGGAGGAGATGGTCTGTCCAGAATCCCATTCTCTAGGCCCCTGCTGATCCCCTGGTCAGTGATGGACGCATCGGACACCAGTTGTGGGGCTCACCTCGTAGACATGTGGACCCATGGTATGTGAACTTTCCCTGCATATCAGTGTCAGGGAGCTGTGGGCATAATGGCCTCACCTGTGTGGCCTTTCTTCCTCAGCTTGAGCAGAACGGTTCTCGTTCTTTCTGACAATATGCTGGCGGTCTCCTATATCAACAGGCAGGACAGGATTCGTTCCCCTTCCCTGTGTTGGGAAGCCCTTCAGCTGTGGGAGCTATGCATCTGGACAGATATTCACCCAGTTGCTTCTTGTCTCCTAGGTCCCAGAACACTCTGGCAGATCAGCTGAGCATGTTCTTCTTCAGCCACTAGTGGCCTCTCAGGGTGTGTCTAAACTTCACCCCTCTTGTCGGCAGAGGGATGTAAATTAAACGTATCGAAAGCGCAAATGAAGCGGGAATTTAAATATCGGGCGCTTCATTTGCATAATGGCAGTCACCACTTTTTTAAAAAAATGGGGCTTTTTGAAAAAACAAACGGTAGTTTAGACGGGGCATTTTCAACAGAAGTGCCCTGTTGCGAAAGATTCTGTACTCCTCATTTTTTGAGGAGTACAGGATCTTTCGAAATGGGGCATTTGTTGAAAATGCTCCATCTAAACTGCCCCCCTCTCCTCCCCGAAAAGCCCGGTTTGGGGGGAAAAAGCGGCAGCTACCATTATGCAAATGAAGCACGGGATATTTAAATCCCCGCTTCATTTGCACTTTCGATGCATCTAATTTATAACCCTCTGTTGACAGAAGGGTGTAGTTTAGATGTACCCTCAGAGGGGACGTGGTCCTCCAAATTTTCCACAGTGGGAGGTTTCCCCTTCTGGACCTGTTTGCCTGGCAGAACAAGAAGTGTCCAAGGTTCTGCTCCCTCATGGGGCTGAGGAGGGGCTCCCTGGGAGATGTACTCATTACTCTCTGGCCTGAGGGTCTGTTTTGTGTTCCTGCCTTTCCCACAAGATGCTCCTGCGAGTTTGGGAGTTCATGGCGTCCCTGATTCTCATGGCACTGGAATGGCCTGGGCAGTACTGGTTCATGTCCCTCCTGAGCCTGTCCTGCAAGAGAGCGATTGCCCTCCTGCTTGACCCGGATCTCATTACTCAGGACTTTGGCCGGCTTTGTCATCTGAACTTGGGATCCCTACCCCTAATGGCATGGAAGCTGCATAGCTGACAGTGGCAGAACTTCAGTACTCAGCGTGCGCAGGAGATTCTGCTGGGAAGTAGGAAATTCCACTAGAACCACTTACAGAAGCGCTTCCACTTGTCAAGGTATCTGGGCTGCCCAGAAGGGGGATATCACCCATGGATGCCCAGATCCCCTTGGTCTTGGACTACCTTCTGAATCTTAGGTTACAGGGGTTATCCTTCTCCTTAATTAGGATACACCTGATGCCATCTCCGCTTTCCACCTGGCCTCCCCGGGCAAGACCCTCTTTGCGGATCCCATGATGTAGATGTTTTTGAAAGGGTCAGACAGACTTTATCCACATGTCCCATCAGCCCATCCCTCAGTGGGACCTCAACCTGATCCTGTTCAAACTCATGGGGTCACCCTTTGAGCCCCTGGCAATGTGCTCGCTGCGGTGTCTGTCTTGGTGACTATCATATCAGCCAGGCATGTGTCCGAACTGAGAGCCCTCACCTCAGACCCTCCCTTCCCCTCTCTCCTCCCCCGCTCCCCTCCCTCCCGCCCCC